ACCCAACAAAACTGAAGTCCTTTACTGATATTCAGGATGTAATCATAGGTCCATGAATAGTATCTTTGCAACCATAACAAGTCTGGTAGACTTAAGCACTTCTTTTAATATTAGAATTAACCCCCTGGGAGATACCTGAGTGTATAATGAATTTCCTATTTCACATTAAGTTATGATTTGTGTAATAGAAATGTTGATAGTCTTTCTTTGGCATTGTAAGGGCTTTGTTTTTTCATAACCGTTCAACAAATGCTTAGTTTTGATTATAAAAACTGAAAATGCATATAGAAAATGAAAACAAAGTAATCTCAAGTCTATGTGTTTTAAACTCTAGTTTTTAAAAAATATACAAGATTTTATCTAAAATGTATTATACCATTCCATATTTCAACAAATAATTTAGGTACCTACTATGTGCAGGCATTATGCTAGGCACTAGAGATATGGTGATGATAGCTCAATGATGATAATAAACTTAAATTTTAATAATAATGTTTTTATAAAATATATTTTTCAAAATTATTTTTGTGGGGTGTCATGGGAACAAAAATTTCAGACCCACAAAAAGAATGTGGAAAACTGTAAGAAACTACTAAAAAAACTGGGAAAGTACAGCAATCAAAAAGATGTAGCAAATTATACTCTAAGCTGCAATTTACGAGAAGAATTGGTGGCTGTCTCAGAGAGAAAAGACATCTGTAATGCCATGGGTAAGTTTTTTTTTTTCTTTACTCAACTGTAGGATTCTTTTTTATTTGTTTTTCATCACCTTTTATCCCCTCCATCCACCCACCTAAACCCCTGCAGTCCATGTCTATGAGTTCTCCCTCTTTTTTTTGTTCAATCCCTCCACCACCACCCCCAACCCTTTTCTTTAAAAGTAATCAGTATAACTGAAATCTGTACAGTTCTTATAAAGCTACCAGCATTCCTTCTACATGTTAATTGATTCTGGATACCATTTTTATATTTGAAAGTATAGAAAATAATTCAACTGATTCTTTTCTTCTTCTTTTTGGGGTAGGGTCTATATTGACTTGTGAAAAAATTGCCAAAGAACGATATGAAAACATGATGGAACAACAAAAGTTAACAAACATTTCAAAACAACAAGCCGAACAGATTTCAGTACTGCAAGCTGAAGTTCAAAGATTAAGGATGAAAACATTTCCTGCCCTTGTTCCAATGTGAAAACACTGGTGGAAAGCACAAGGCCAAATCAATCATTTAAAAAATAATTTGATTAAAATGATTTTTTGTTCTTTTATACCTGGAAATTTAAGTAGAGTCTCGTCTCAGTTGCATATTTTTAATAGAAAATTATTTAATTTTAGCCTTAATAATTATAAAAATGTTTATCCTGCATAAATAAATGTATAAAATACCATGAGTTGTTGTTTTCAAAAATGAACAAGATTTTAACTCAGTATTCAAGATCTATTTTATTTAGTCTTAATTTGATAAAAAATTATTTTCACAGTTATAATACAAAAGTCTTAAAGACAAAAAGAAATTATTCTTGGCCACAAGTGACATCTCTAATTTTATAAATTACCTGAAGTTACCCAGCTGGCATGGCTCAGTAGTTGAGTGTTGGTCCACGAACCAGGAGGTCATAGTTCGATTCCTGACCAGGGCACATGCCTAGGTTTCGCGATTGATCCCCAGCTGGGGGCATGCAGGAGGCAGCTGATCAGTGACTCTCATCATTGATGTTTCTATCTCTCTCTCCCTCTCCCTTCCTCTCTCTGAAATCAATAAAAACATATTTAAAAAAAAAACTAGAATTTAAAAAATAAACAAATTACCTGAAGTTATGAGACTATGGATTATTTTTATTCTTTTCCATATTTCCTAAGTTTTCTTCAATAAGTATTTCTTCTATAATCAGAAAAAAAATTGCCAGAACATTTAAGATTATTCCTTATTCCACCCTAGCTGATTTGTCTCAGTGGTTAGAGCGTCAGCCTATGGAGCCAAGGGTCTTGGGTTTGATTCCCGGTCAAGGGCACGTATGTACCTCGGTTGCAGGCTTGATCCCTGGCCCTGTGGGACATGTTCGGGAGGCAACCCAATCAATGTGTGTGTCTCACGTTGATGTTTCTCTCTCTCTCCCCCCTCCTCCCTCTCTTCCACCCTCTAAAAGTCAATGGAAAAATATCCTCTGGTGAGGATTAAAAAAAAAAAGTTGATTTCTTGTTCTAGCAATGAGAACATGGTGAACTGTTTACTTTTACCAGGCCCTAAATCATTTGTCAATTATGACATATATTCTTCTACATAAACAGCTTTGAGGCATGTATAGAGTGGAGGTTAGCAGGAATCTCTTGCCCCCAGACTATATTCTAATAGCAGCACTTTTCAACAGAGGTATCCTCTAGTTTGGGGAGTTGGCTGTGGATGGGCACATGGGTCATGCACCCCAATCTATTTTTGATACTGTCCATGGTACTGATTCTCCTCAGCGTCTGCTGAAGTAACAGCAATTATATTCATATTTTATAGCCCTTTAAAATATTACCTATAGTATTTAAAAATAATATAATTAACTGGGTCAAACATAATATGGCTTTAAGCATAGGACTTAAGAGTAGGGCTCTGATGCTTGTTGCCTGGTTTCAAATCCTGGCTCTACCACTTCAGTTTTAAGTAACTACTTGATCTTAAATTTCCTCATCTTGAAAATTGGGATGTTGATCAATGTAATACTAAAATGAGTTAACATACTTTTGAAACTTACACAAAGCAAGTGCTAAGTGGTAGCTTTCCTTTTTCTGAATAAATGTTATTCAGTGATTTTTTAAAATCACTTTATATTTTTCAATTATAGCTGACATACAATATTGTTAGTTTCAGGTGTACACCCCAGTGACTAGACATTATATAACTTACTAAGCGATCATCCCCCAAAATCTCATGCCCATCTGACACTATGCATAGTTATTAGAATATTATGGACTATATTCCTTATGCTGTACTTTACACCCCCATGACTATACTAATTTGTACTTCTAAATACCTTCACCCTTTTTACCCACCCACCCCCAAACCCCTTCCCATCTGGGAACTGTCAAAATGTTCTCTGTCTATGAGTTTGTTTCTGTTCTGCTTGTTCATTTATTTTCACTTTTAGGTTCAATTGTTGATAGGTATGTATTTATTGCCATTTTATTGTTCATAGTTTTTATCTTTTGTTTTTCTTCTTAAAAAAGACCCTTTAAGATTTCATGTGATACTGGTTTGGTGGTGGTAAACTCCTTTACCTTGTTTTATTGCACTTCATTCTATTGTGCTTCAGATACAAATTGAAGGTTATTTACAAATTGAAGGTTTGTGGCAGCACTGCTTGGACCAAGTCTATTGGTGCCATGTTTCCAACAGTATATGCTCACTTCATGTCTCTGTGTCACATTTCGGTACTTCTAACATTTCAAACTTTTTCATTATTATATATTTATGATCTGTGATCTTTGATGTTATATTGTAATTATTTTGGGGTGCCACAAACCATGCCCATATGACAGTGAACTAATGGATAAATGTGTGTTCTAACTGCTCCTTCCTTGGGCCTCCCTATTCACCTGAGACACAGTGATATTTAAATTAGGCCAACTAACAACCCTAATAAAACTAGAAATGATTAAGTGTAGTAAGAAAGACATGTCGAAAGCTGAGAGAAGCCAAAAACTAGGCCTCTTGCACCAAACTTAGCCAAGCTGCACTGGGAAACCAAAAAATTCATGTGACTTGCTTTACTGCGGTGGTCTGGATACCATTTGTGATACCTGAGGTATCCCATTCAATGGAGGTGAAATTCAACAGAAATTATTTTTTACAAAGGGACCACCTTATGGGCATTCCTATGTCCCAAACTCTCCCATAAGCCTGATCCCATGATTTAACTCCTGTTGCTAGAGTACCCACTATGCTGTTGGAGCCCCCAGGACCCAGCCAATGCTTTGGAAATGCCCAATACTGTACCCCCATTTGCTCTACCCCACTCTCCAAGAACCAGACCCTTACATGTTCACTGATGCTGTAGTTCCAAGTGAACATGTAAGGGGACTCCAAGGGATATGCTAAGTCAGCAGTACAGCTACAGCCAAATGCCAGCACCATCAGCAGCTAAACTGCTTCCCCTGCCACATGTTAGCCCTCTGAGCAGTAGTTGGAGGCTGGTAGGCATAAAATAGCACAGCTCCCCAGGGCTGCTCGTCTAGGAATCCCAGGGCCAGGGGAGGCCCATGTGAGGCCTGGGCCAGTCCTCTTGGGTTCACAGAAGCCAATGACAATGGTAATTTCCAAAAGGTAGGCATTTGGGGGTGGGGAGGCAGATAGGTAAGAGGGAGGTGGCAGAGTTTACTGTCATGGGCACTAACAATTAGAATAAATGTAAGAGCAGAGTCCTGAATCTCCCCTATTATGCCAAATAATACGGGGAGGGACTGGGCTGAAAATGGTGTGCAGTTGGAGGAGAGGGGGCCTACGAGTAGGGAAGTACTTTTTAAAAGTTTTTGTGGGTTTTTTTTAGACTAAGTAAAGCTGTTTTTGCCCTTAAAAGGACCCAAAAGCAGATATCCAGAAAGCCCTCAGGAAGGACTGGAAGTACACCAGTTTTTCTGCTTCTAAGTTTACATACAATAGCTTCAGCCACAAAAAGAGATGAGCTTTCTTTTCCTGAGCACAACTCCAAATTCTCAGAGACTGGGCCAGCTTTGGTCATATTTCTGTACATGGCCAGGATTACAGGTAACATTGTACAACAGAGCAGCCAGAAACACAATCCTATGAAGGTGGGTTTCTAGCTGAGAAGTAACTGTGAACTAAGTAGACACTCATCTGTTTCACAGATGAAGCTAGAAAGGTAAATGAATGTAAAAGACCTTGTAAGCCATGATGTCTTGAAGTGGCAGAAGAGGATACGTGGTTTTGTAAGAGAGAGATGGTCCTGTCACTAAATGAGGTGAGGAATACAAGAAACAAATGTGGAGAGACATGAATATACTTTTTGGACATTCTGAGTTTAATTACCTGATAGACCATACAGATGGACATATATGGTAAATGGATGGAAACAAGGTTCATAAACTTAGGAGACAGGCAGGCATTTTTAGACCAGTTTAGATTTAGCCATTCACCAGATGGGACTATTTTTTAACATTTAAAATTAAACTACTTTTTATAATAAACGAAACAACATAACTGACTTCCAGAATTGCCCAAATTATTTTTTATAACATGATTTCATTTTTTTTTTCACATTTCTTTAAATGTCAAATTTTCTTTGGCAGATTTATCCAAAATACTAAATATTCATTTTGAACTTAACATATTTATCTAACAGAGTGCTCTAAATTGATTTTCATCAAGGTACCTTTCTTTAAACCCTGATGGTTTATATCTTCCCTTTAAAATGTATAAGTATTTAAGCTGTCATTCTCAAAAATATTCTGGAGGAAAAACTATGAATTAAACACCTATAAATTCTTCTTCATTTCTGTTATAGTGTAGCAATTTATCATCTAACCCGTAGTGGTCTATCAACTCGGTAAGGCTGAGTTTCTTGTTCTCCTCAGACATAGCTGACTGCAACTCATAAAGCAACAGCTGGCTACAGCGTCTCCATTTCTTTATTAACAACTTTAACTGAGACAGGTCATTCTGAAACAAAACAAAAAACACATATATATGTATGTCAATAACTGATAGGCATCCTATTTTAACTTAATGAAAGCTGTTAAATCAGTCAAGAGTAGGTTTAAAGGGTACCAACGTATTTGGTCATGAATGAGCCTTCTACCCAGGAAAAAGTAGGGTGGTTTTTACAATGACACTCCAGTTGAGTTCTATGGCTATTTTTGGTGGGAGCTCTGGGCCTTCCTTGTCCTCGGGGGGAAATCAAATAATTAAAAAGGCAAAACTATGTAGAGAAGCAACAATACAGGTTTTTAAAAATCTTTTTCTAGCCCGGCCAGGTGTGGCTCAGTGGTTGAGAGTCAACCTAGGATCCAGGCGATCAGGGTTCGATTACCGGTCAGGGCATATGCCGGGGTTGCGGGCTCGATCCCCAGTTGCGGGCATGCAGGAGGCAGCTGCTCAATGACTCATTGATGTTTCAGTCTCTCTCTCTCCCTCTCCTTTCCTCTCTCTGAAGTCAATAAAGATGTATTAAAAAATAAATAAAATAAAAATCTTTTTTATTACAGCTGTACTTTTAAAAATAAGACTATTCAAATTTAAAATATTTTTCAGCATTCACTATCTCATAAAACTCAAGTAATATTTAGAAAAATCCTAAAAATTCAAGACAGCAAATACAATATACTATTCCATCATTTATTGCATATTGCTAGGGAAGGAGAAATTGCATATACTTGAATGATCCAGGTAAACAAAGGTTATCTGCTTCCGAGTGCCCAAGTTCCATTTAATTCAATCTATCTGGGGTGAAATCTAAAATCTAGTATTTGTTGTTTTTCCAAACAAAATGCCTGGAACCTTTAATAATCTGGAGGAACAAAAGATCACTACTAACAATATTTTTTATTATACTCTGTAGCCCATGTTTAACTTTTTAAATCATCCACTGTCAGCTGTCACTTCTGTTCTCACTGTACTTACATCTAACATTTAATACTTTTAATATTGCTACATGCTAGAAAAACTTCAACTGCATACTAAACAAGAGCTGGGACTTTTAAAAAGTTGAATCTGGTGTTTAGAAGCCTCTTCTACTCTACTCTAAATCTGACATATTTGAGTTAAAAGTTGCTGGAAGCCAGGTTTCTGAATATTTGGCTTAATGCTTATTATGCTTAAAAAATGCTCTCTTTTTGAAATGACTTTCCTATCATTTACCTAAAAATAAAAAATAAATTTAACAATTTAAATAATTATGCAATGATCCTGAAATTACTCTCACCTTCGATCTATACATTTTGACTAGTTTTAGCCTCCGAAGAAGGTCTTCTTTCTCCTGAATCTGCTTCACCAATTTTGTCTTTTCTTCATTTAATTCTTTTTGGGGAAGAGTCTCATCAAAATCATTCTGGAGATCACTGCAAGACCCAGTATCAAGTGACTTAGATTCATACGCACTGGTATTCTTGATGGTATTTTTCAAATATGAACTTTCTTCAAATTCACTGTCTATGTGTTTAAAATTATCTTGAAATTCCAAACAGTTTTCTTCTGTTGAAGATGCTGGTTTCTCTACAAAGGTCTGATCGTTTTCTTCATTCTCTACTTTAAGACGTTTTACCACACTGTAACAGGAATTAAATGAAAATCTAGTTTTTCTCAACCGTTCTCTAAGTGTTGCACTCATAGGCTGTAAAAGGCACAAACATTAATAATGTTAGTAAAAAAATTATTGATGTAAATAAATCTACTAGAAATAAAGATCTTACATTTCTATGGTACATACCACTAGATGGCTTTCTGTCTCCATATATCTTTTTTTTAATATATCTTTATTGATTTCAGAGAGAGGAAGCAAGAGGGAGAGAGAGATAGAAACATCAATAATGAGAGAGTCATTGATCAGCTGCCTCCTGCATGCCCCTAACTGGGGATCCAGCCCGAAACCCGGGCATTGAACCAGGATCTCCTGGATCCTAGACCGATGCTCAACCACTGAGCCATGCCCGGCCAGGCTCAATATATCTTAAGTAACCATCACAAGATGTCTTTAATTCCTGGAAGCTCCATTAGTTTTATTTTATTTTAGCAAAGTCAGCACTCTTCTACAACAGTGTTGATACACTTATCCCAGTAATCACAAACATTTGTTCAGCAGCTTAGCACATGCCTGACATTGCTCTAGGTGCTTCAGTTACAAATTTTGGAAAAGACCTAGGTCCTGCCACCAAACACCTTCATTACACTGCAGATTCAAATTTCTTCAATTTGTAATGTTGTAATAACCTGACCTGAAACTAAATAATTGATTCAAAATGAAACTTTGGGGGTAGGGAAGAGTCAAATACTTTATTTTAGAACTAAAATTATTTAATACACTTATTAATGCCACACACTGTTAATTATCAATCTTCAGTAGACCTGGAACCACCACAATAACTGGAAATATAGAATTGACCCATTGAAAGAACTAAGATTTTCATACTTGTTTTCTTGAACTACTTGTATGGGGAGACGGTAGACTGGCACAGCCCTGCGGAGTGCTAGGCAAAATCACAGCCGAGTCTGAAGGACTTTCCATCTTGAAAATGGAATCTTGGTTTACCTCTAAAAAACAAAAATAATCACAAAATGGAAATCAAATAAACCCACAGCTCTATATATTCCTCAGTCTTTATCAAATAATTTTTTATTGTAAGTAACATCAGCAAGTAAGCCAGCATCTTCCTCCTTCACTTAGCTGACTCATTATTGCTTTTTGCTGTCATTTTCCATTTACCTTCCTACATAAGGTTGTGTTGGTCTACAAGGTGACCGCTATTTTTTTCATGACAAATTAACCAGCTAGCCTCTCAAATAAACAAGACTCTCCATTTGTTTTCATCAAAATATCTTCAAAACCTGCTATATGGGGGTTGGAGAGAACAAACATGGGATAGTTAAGAACTCTTTAATTTCGTTTCGTCAGCTTCACAATGAAAGGAAATAAAACTGAAATCTTGACTCGAAGAACATGACCAGACCTGTCCAGGCCTGTCCCACTACCCTAAACCCTGAAGGCTGTGTGATTAGAACCAATGGCCCGCCAGGCCTGAGAAATAAGGAACACAACTGCAGGTAAACTCATGCCCGTCTGAACCGTTTTTCGTTTAAGTAGCGAAAAGACCCTGAAAAGGAGAGTAGATTGAAGTTTGTTTTCCTGAAACAAAGCCATCAACGTTACCGGGGCGAGGGGGGGGACACACGACAACGAAGGAGGCCGCCCTTCCCTCCCACCACTGCCGGAGACCACACCAGCCTTGGAGACCCCAGGCCTGAGGCGCAGTTGCGCGGTCCCCTGACCGCGGAAAGGGAGCGCTATTCGACTGCACAGGGCCCGCCAAAGCAGCTCAGCTTTCACACACCTATCCGCGAGCCCAGACGCCGCCGCCCTCCG